CATTGATTAATGAACAAATAAGCATTCACGTCCTTGACTATACAGACTCCGCGGGTGCAACATTCTGGGAAATTAAGTTTTAGGTTTTATGCATCCATAGGTAGATGTCACTTGCATGACTTTAACATCATTTTTCACATCAGATACGTTAATTGGTTAGACTCACTCGCTCTGTACAAAGCAATTGTAAGCTTAACTTTTGTCGTAACTGTGAAAAAAATAGGGATGCCAAATTCTTGGGGGATAATCATCATTATAAGCTCAACAATAACATGGTAGAAACAAAGCATGACGAACAAAGCAAGATGCATGCAGTTTTTGAATTTTGTGATTCATCTTCCGCATTGCAGGACTTTATGTATGCACGTGCTGATGAACGTGTTCTGAACGTTTTTATAGTGTTACGCATTAGTTGTCATGTACATGTCCTGTTCATGCCGCTCTGTGATTTATTTTCATGTGCATATGGAAGCCTCCGCTAGATTTCAAACACGTGTGGTAAACACAAACAGTGCTCATTATTCCGCTAAAACGGAATATCTTTTGTGTGTATATTACTTATATGTGATGATGACTTTATCTGCATGATATTGAGTATGTCCTCTATCAAAAAGTGAATCAATCCTCCAATTGGTGGTAAAAAGAGTGCTAAAAGAGGTTGAGAAATCATTGAAGCTTTCAGCGGGAAAATATTAAACGTGTATGTATACTTAAATCCAGTATATAGGACTCCTTCCACTTCTATGATTGCTCTTTAATGTTACGATTTGGATAATTGTTATTTTTGTGGTTGTGTATACTTAAATCCGGTATAGATATGTTGTATGGTTTGATATGTATGGATGAGGACAACAGCCCGCGGGTTCATACATATATTGATTGGCCTGCTTGTGTATTCTGTATTTAGTCAAAAGTATAGTTTTCTGTGCAGTGAAATGGAATTCGTAAGCTTTCAAGTATATTGTGCACTACGGTGTGTTTTTTGTAAAGAAAAGTGCTATTTGAATATATCCACTGTTTTTGCTAATACAATGTGTTTTTATGATCAACCGCTCATATGCTGTGTATTTATGATCAACCACCAGCAGCACTTCAGTTCCATTCCACCAATGGACTACATTCTGTACCGGAATCTAATGGTGACCGGATGTTATGGTACACTTTCAAACTCAACGCAACTCACTTCCGCGCTGCCCCCCTAAACAGCTGTTCCTTCCACTCCTTCCCTCAGAGCCATGAATCAGTGACTTCATGAACAGCGTATGCTTGCAGGAATTACATGTTGAGGAATGGTATAGGAAGATAGCATACTATTCAATACATGAACTTGCAGCATTCTTAATGTTTTATTCTTGTTATTTTATGAGAAGTGTTTAGTGGTTGCCAAAAGTTCCATTACTACTGCTGATTTGTGCAAATGACTTCCAAACATGATCAGAAAATACTTTCATTATTGTTATCTGATTTTGGGAGGCGGTTGGGTGAAGTGAAGTTAGGTAAGGTTATGTTAGTTACAAGTATCTTTTAATTAACATAACCTGAATTAACAACAATTTTAACCGAACTTTACCTAACTGCCTCCCAAGTATCTAATATCTTTTAATTAACATAACCTCAACTTCACCCAACCGCCTCCCAAAATCAGATAACAATAATGAAAGTATTTTCTGGTCATGTTTGGAAGTCATTTGCACAAATCAGCAGTACTAATGGAACTTACAGTAAAGCATTACTAAAGCATTACAGTTGAAGTCACTCAAGGAGAAGCTGGCGCTCATACTATAGGGGTGGCGTGGAAGAGGTAGCGCTGAATGGAGCTGCGTTGAGTGGAAGTTTCACCATAACGTCGCGTCTTGTAATAGATTGGTGGCAGTGACGTTTTTTCATACGTAACTGCGTAACGTACAGATTGGTGGCAGTTACGTATTTTTATACGTAACAGCAATACGTAATGCTTGGTGGCAGTTGGCGTAACGAAACTGGAGTGGCGGTTTATCTTTAATGTGTTTTCTTTCATTACTTTGTTATATTTATTAATATCATAAGTGGACCCTTCTTCATGTGCTGTATAATATTCACTTCTTTCAGGGAAAATGTCTAAAAAGAAAATAGTGATTATTTCGGATACCGTAGAACTCTGTCCAGTTTTTGACATTGGGCTGGCAGAGTATAAGAGATTTCGACATTTCCTTGATGACCTCTTCAAGGAGAAGAATTGTTGGTTGTCGGGTATAATCAAGTTAAAATGCAAACCTGACTTGATTAAAGCACTTGATCCTTGCGGTGAAGGACGATTTACTTGGGCAGAAGGTGACGATGGCGACACATCAATTTGGTCGTCACTCGCGAAAGAAAAGATCCTGAGTGTAAATAGGCAATCACTCCAAAAAATTAACAGGAGTGGAATTTATCAAGTGCACACAACTCCTGAAGGCCCAGATGCGGATGAAGACAGTGTTCTCAAGTACTTTCAGAAAACCCGTGAGAAGGGTTTGATGCATCCAGATGCTCTTGGAGGAAGTTCTTGCACACTTCCGCATCCCCCAACAATTGCAGCAGCTTCTGCTGAAGGCGAGTGCTGTAAACCAAGGGATGAAGAAGCAGAGAGGATAGCTGGAGAAGCAGCTCAGAAGGCATTTTGGTCTGCCCTGAGATCTCTTCAAATGAACGAGACAACGGAGCAAAAGACTTACGTCACGGAATTAACAATGAAAGTGGACGAGATCAGACTCCACGAAATCAAGAAATGTGGTGGAAGGCCAAATGATGTGAGTGCTGGGTTTTTATGTTTCATTTTTGCACAATCACAGAATCTTTGAGTATAACTATTCTCAAACAGACTACATTTCTTATACACAAAACACAGAATCTTTGAATATAACTTTTCTTATCCTTGCATGATAAAATTTAATTTCAGACAATAATTTCCCCTTCTCTTTTCCCATATCTATAATATTGAATAAAAAAAAAACAATGATATCATTCGTACATACTTTCGTGTAATATACAAGGTTTCAAGATACAAGTTGTGAGACAACCTTCAAGACAAATCGTTTTTCAGGAAAGAGGTTGGGTTTGTCTTGAGATTTTTAGTGGGTGTTTGCGACAGCCGGGCCATTTTTTTCGCGCTTTCCATGAGGGGTGGAATGACCCTGTAGTTCCCGAGAAAATGTAAATGTCCCCCTGTGCTGATAAGGGGGGTGCCGACTTCGGTGATTGTTTTTATCCACATTCCAGGGTTCCTTTTCTTTTCTGTCTCGTCAATTTGTCTTCATTTTGTAGACACCCCACTTCTGGAGATTTTCTTTTCTTATCTCTCGTTTGTTTCGGCGATCTGCTGGGGATGCATGGAATAAATTACATTTTCAGCTTCCTATATATTGGCGCCCTAGCCCTATTCTTGTATATCCCATTTCTGCATGGGGATTTTCTTTTGTATTGCCAGTGTTTTCACGCTTTTTCATTCAGAAATGCAGGGATTGAGTTGCGAGTCGGCTCGTTTGTTTTGGCTCCAATTTTCAAAGTGAGCCGTCAGAAAAATTTCGTACAACATGATGAAAATTTCATTGATCATTTTTTCTTATATAAAAACATTTTTTTAAAGGAACCTTTATGGAGCATGCTCTGAATTCAAAAATGTTTGGTTCAATGTATGAGATCATATAATACTGGCATGATACAATTTTATTTCATACAAGACTCTTCCCTTCCATTTTCCCATCATAACCACGGAACATCATGTTAATAATCGAACAATAATACTGTACTTAACAATAATTTACAATAAAAATGTAAAAACAATCATACGCGTTACAAATGTCTTTTTAATAATTAATACAACTACAGCACGTATATACAAAAGATAAATCAGTTGTAACCAGATCAACTACCGGTGCCGAAAAAACCGCTACCCTTGCTTATCCGGCCACATTTTGCTCATCCCGAACAAATGTATATATATACCCAAGCTTGCAAACGTTGGCGGTTTAACGGGGCTTTTGCGGAATGTAACTTATTGGAATAAATTACATCTAAAATATAAATGAAATTTCAGGAAAAATTCAAGTTGGACTTGACGGATATTCCCGGAAATATCTTTGGGAACATGATGGGGAACTTCGATCAAGACGGGAATGGGATTGTTTTTGGAATCAACACCCCTTACTTCTTCCTTGGATCAAGAGGTACTGTGTTCCCAATGCACTGTGAGGACATGGACCTCCTCTCCATCAATCTGCAATGTGCGGGGTATCCAAAGTATTGGTAAGTACATACTTGATAATCTTGCATTTATTGTCAGATTATGAAATTTTTCATTACATTTATTTCCCACAGGTACTCGATCCGTACAAAGGATGTCCCAATTTTCGAGAAGGTTGTTCATCTTCTACTTGCCAGAGGAACAATGTGCCAAAATGTTATGCGACACAAGATGCACATTTTCGACCCGAGATGGTTCAGGCAGTTTGGCATAAAGCCAATTATTGCTATTCAGCATCCCTGGGAGTTTGTTGTGACCCTTCCAAAGGGATACCACGGGGGTTTCAATGATGGGTTCAACATCAATGTTGCAATCAACTACGCAGTTCCCTTCTGGATTGACTACGGTTTAAGATCAAGGTTCTGCACTTGCAATGAGTATGTTTGGATTTTATTTAATTATTATTTGAAATATTTTGAAATGGAATAAATGATTTCATTTTCAGTGTAAGGATTCCAATGGAACCATTTGTCCGTCACCAGTATCCTGAAAAGTACAGGGAATGGTTGACAAATGGATTAAGAACTTTCCTGGAGGATGGACGAAACGATTTAATTGGGATTAAAATCAATCCCTTTGCAGAACCGCCAACTCTACAAGACCTGAAAATGGTGCCGATGTAAGTATATAATAATATGAACTGAATTCAAGTGCAAACGTTTTACATTACTTTACAATCTTTAATTGCAGACCAAGAAATGAAGAAGAGTGGAGGTTGGAGAAAGAAGTAGGTGACTGGAACGTGGATCATCTGCAGTTTCTCATCAAAAGGATTGCATTTCTTGAGGAAATTGTGAAGGATCTTGGCAGGAAAAGGTGTGGGATTCAATTCATAACATTGTAAGGCTAATATTACTATATGTACATTCATTTCAGGCAAAGGTCAAGGAGTGCTTCACTGGACAGAGGTGTCCAAGTAACAGTAGAAGAGGAACTGCATGAGCGGAAGGAAAAAGCCATCAGACGTGATTATGGTTTGGAAGAGCAACGGCAGTTTCCACCATCTCCTCTTGATGAAGTCACCTTCCCGCCCACCTACCCAGAAGCCTTTAAAATAGTTTCTGTTGAGGAGAAAAAAAAAGAATTGTTCGATAAAGAAAAATATGTTGAGGAAGTTAAACGTAGAAGGTGGGTTGATGATGATGATGTTACTTTTTTGAAAAGTGGCCCATCTTCCCCCCCTTGATTTTCTTTATTGTCAATAACATGTGAGTTTCAAAGTTCCCACGTGTGTATATATACATGTAAAAAACATGTGTATTTTAATTTTCCGCCGTGTGTATGCTTCTAATATGTTATAATAATTGAATAGACATATATATATATATTTTTACTGATGTATATTATAGGGTGGACTGGTCCAACATTTAATTACTCTCTTGTACTTATAGAACGTGAGGTTTTCTTGCTTTGCTCTAATGTGTTTTCTAATTATCCGCAGATTATACAAATTGTGCAAAATGGCCGAAGTGTCAACTGCAGAAAGAAATGCGCGAAATTGTGAAATGAGTGCGGAAGATGTGTTGTGCATGACTCTATCGGCAAGTAATGTCATGTCATTACATTTCGCGCTCCAACAAACTCTTTCGTCACAAGTGCTCCCAGAATTAAGTGGTGTTGAGGAATTCGACGCGTACACAATGGATTTGGACGTCCTGAACGAGATAATCCCGGACGATTACTTCAACTCGTTCAATGTACAACAGTTTGAAAGTATTTCTGCACAAACGTTGCAGGAATTCATAACTGCTGTGGTGGACGTCATGAAGAAACATGGTATGAATGATGTTTAATATCTTCTTTTCGTTGGGTGAATGCTGACCTATCATGAATTTAAGGGTTGAAAACTCTACATCAAATTGACATCAAAATGATGGAAGCTCACTCTGCCCCCGTAACGGATGAAGAATCTACTTCGTGCCTTACAGTTGTGGACAACCTAAATGATGACATTGTCAACAGTCCACATCGAGAATCGGCTATAACCCAAGGTTAGTTTCATCGCATCCTACAATTATCATCCTTCCGTTTTATAATCACTTTCAATCAGTCGCTTTCAGTAGATCTCATGTTATCCTTTAAACCTTACACATTATTTTCAGCATTGTGTTATTACAAGTGTCACCTGTGTTAGTTCTAAATAAACAAGTGTAATTACATTTTTTGTACGCTAAGGAACATTAAGTTACTGGTCGTAAAGGATAGTGCTCGTGCCGTACATCGTACCGTATCGTACCGTACGGAACGATGTGTTGAAAAGCACTGAAAATTTGCAAAAACACGGACAAAATGAATTTGTCTGCCAACGAAAAAATAAATAAATGATTCTCATGTATCTTTTCCAGGAAATTTATCCCACAGGCAACCGAATATTTTCGTAGCACATAAAATTAGCATACCACATACAATTGGTAAAAAAATTGACAAAAACAAATTCGTCACTATTACAAAAATTTCACTGGTTCTCATTCCCAACAAATTTGTAACATGATTTAAACAAGTGTAATTACATTTTTTGTACGCTAAGGAACATTAAGTTACTGATCGTACCGTGATAGTGCTCGTGCCGTACGTCGTACCGTATCGTACCGTACGGAACGATGTGTTGAAAAGCACTGAAAAGTTGCAAAAACACGGACAAAATGAATTAGTCTGACAACGAAAAAATAAATAAATGATTCTCATGGATCTTTTCCAGGAAATTTATCCCACAGGCAACCGAATACATTCGTAGCACATAAAATTAGCATACCACATACAATTGGTAAAAAAAATTGACAAAAACAAATTTGTCACTATTACAAAAATTTCACTGGTTCTCATTCCCAACAAATTTGTAACATGATTTAACTGGTTCTCAGGGATTTCTTCCCTGCAGTACCTCGCAAAGGCAACCGAATACATTCGTAGCAAAATTTGTACAAAAATTAAAAAAAAAAAAATTTGTAACAAGATTTCACTGGTTCTCACGAATTTTTTCCCTGCAGTACTATTACAAAAATTTCACTGGTTCACAGGGATATTTTCCCAACAAATTTGTAACAAGATTTAACGGGTTCTCAGGGCTTTCTTCCCTGCAGTACCTCGCAAAGGCAACCGAATACATTCGTAGCATTTTACAATTTGTACAAAAATTTACAAAAACATATTTGTCACAAATAAAAAAAATTCACTGGTTCTCACGGATTTTCCATGAAGTATCTCCCAAAGGCAACCGAATTATTAAAAAAGAAAGTAACTTATTCTTATGACTGATTGTCATCACCCAAAAAACCAGGACCGAATACCTCACAACGACGCTCTACATCGCAATTTGAACGTTTATAATTGTCACGTGCGTTGAATGTCTTCCCATCACAGAATATCCTTCCGACGCCACCAATTGTACTTCCGTTTCGGAATTGTCCTGCCCGTTTTCAATTCTTATTACTTTCACTTCTCTTGTTCCGCTATCCGCCTAGATAATTGCATAGCACGTTTCATCCATAAATAAACAATATAAACATCGAATAAAAAAAAGTTGCAGTAAATTTGTTCGAATTTGTGAAAATCAACTTACGCGGCTTAGCAGCATACGTCTGGAAACAAACATTCCCAAACACACGCCCAGTCCTGCAATTCCCAGAAATGCACCTGCCTTTGCGTATTCAATACCCCCGAAGTACAATTTGACTCGAAACAAAGGGGCGTCTCCACTATCAGCCTTCACAAGTAAATTTCCGAATGAAAAATTTAATTACTTGAAATGTTCTTACCGAAAATGATTTTCGACTTACCTGGCTTAGAAAACTTTTAAAGATTTTCCCGCCAATTTGTGCAATTCTTGAGAGTGCAGCACCTGCCATCGCGTATGCATATGCTGCTATATAAAGACCGACACAGTACTACCTGTTCTCAAATATGTGTTTGCTCTTTGTTATTTGCCGTATACTTAATTCCATTCAAAATTAGTTTGCACTTCTTGAAAACAGAAAACTTCAACGCAGGTTCACGTATTACTCAACTCCGATATTGCTGACGAGATCTCCGAACTCAGACTGCAAGCCGGAACTCCAGAATTTGCTGCCTGAGTCACAGTCGTGCTATTTATTAGATGTTCTTGCAGGAAGTCTTTCAATCCTTACCTGAGACACCCCTCCGTGTTTGGTCATATTGAACCAGAGAACGTTGTTTAACTTTTGCAACCGTGCTGCCAAACACCAGTTTTCAATCCCCTCCACCAAGAGAATCACCGTGAGACCTGACCCTTGATAAACGACGTCGCAGTTAACAGAAAACATCTCTGCAAGAAAAATAGCTTTCGCAAGTGCAGTATTACGTTACGGTTTTCCTCGTTCATGACTATACATCTGATTTTTCGTTACTGCCTTCAGCAGTTATATTCGAAAACGGCCCATTTAACCCGACGTTTTGGTCGTTAATAGGAACGTTGTTCCACGTAATTTACATGATGTACGCCTCGACAGAAGTCTTGGAAATTTTGTTCAAACATATCTGAGTAACGCATGTACGGAAAGGACAAATAATTGGACGGAAAGGACAAATAATTGCCAATAGTCATTCGATTTCAAACTTGTACTAAACAAAAGCATACAGCACAATTGTACCACAGCACAATACTTCGTCGTTGTCCTTCATTTCTTGAAACTGCTAATAACATTGTATAATCAAACGCCTAGCTCTTGTAAGTATTGCTCTTAACGAACTTATTCATTGTAAAATCACTCACGACCGCTGCAGTTACCTTCAACTTTATTAACGTTCCGTCAAGTGAATCCATTATTGTGACAAATTAAATTTATTATCATTATAATGTTCCACTTGATCACATATAACTTACGTAGTAATTTTACATTTACTTTTATGAAAAGGTACACAAACGGATGTTCCTGCATGTACCATGACGAAAGGTACACAAACGGAACCGTCCTCAATAAGGACGGCTAACACACAGACAAACCGTTATTGTCCAAATCTTACAACCTCGGCAACCCAAACGGATCTGTCTGATACATTATCATCAGTTGAAGAATGCGACGGATGTGCGTTGAGCAGAAATTTCGTGCAATTCATGAAGACGAAACGGCCGGACGTTGATGCAAGGGAAGTGAAAAGCATTGAAACTGCGAAATCAACAGCGGAGGATTGCGCCCGCTGTAAGCTCGTAATGAACCTCATCATCAATCTACTAAGATTCCGTAGAGATGATATTGTGCTGTTCAACCTCGTCATGGCCACACAGAACGCCATAAAAGTATGTTCTTCGGGAAAAGGGACATTACATATTGTTTTTCTACCAACAATACAAACATGTACTTTTATTTATCAGAATCGGGTGCAAATTCCGGCTTCTGCTGATCTTGGAGAAAGCAATGTGGCCATTAATGAGGAATGGGAATCGGGGCATTACATATTGTTTTCTACCAACAATACAAACATGTACTTTTATTTATCAGAATCGGGTGCAAATTCCGGCTTCTGCTGATCTTGGAGAAAGCAATGTGGCCATTAATGAGGAACAAGCAGGACCAGCACCTTGCCAAGTGAGACGTGTCATACCTTCAAGAATGTCAAAGAAACGGACACGTTCTTCCAGCAGTTCCAGGAAGTGTAACAGCGACAGCGCCAGCATGAGTGAATGCGATGAAGGAATGACAAATGCATCCAAAAAAGTACGTATATAACACTTTTCCAAATTTATTTTAAAAATTAATTTTAAAATATACTTCTCGAGATACGTAGTAATGAATGTATAATTTTTCACTGTTTCAGAAGAGTGTGCGCTGTGCGAAAAAACAGAAGGGCGTTCCAAAAAGGGGGAAGAAGCCAGCTCCTATCAACATTATTACACCATCCGCCATCAGGAAAAGGAACAACAATGTCATGAACCAGCATCACAGACACCGGGTCTTCAACCGTGGGGAACAGCAGGTAATATCACAATACGTATTTTTATAATATACCCCACTTGATAATTTACACAAATCAGTATATCGGAAGTAACGGGATGGATATAAGCAAAAATTGCTTTTATTGTGCTTATATTGTGATGTGTGGGTTTTACGAAATGAGAGGACACTTTTATTTGTTTGGAAACCGTTTATGTACAAAAATTTTTAACGCATTTCATTTCATGATATAAGCAAAAACTGCTTTTATTGTGCTTATATTGTGATGTGTGGTTTTTACGAAATGAGAGGACACTTTTATTTGTTTGGAAACCGTTTATGTACAAAAATTTTTAACGCATTTCATAACAAATGTACAACATAAACAATCATTCAACAAGAAATGCTTGTACACCATTTTGTGCACCACCAACACCATTTTGTGCACCACCAACACGCTCATCACGTGGACGATGAAGCAGTGTAATTTTGTATTGACACGCCGGGTTTCTGCAGATGAAAAACATCATGATCCATTTTTGAAATCTTTCCCACGGCGGTAAATTTGCATCAGCGAGGGTTATGTGACCAAACTTCAACGGTCGGCCACAATGTGTGTTTATTAGAATGTTGTCCCACTCATAATTATTTATATCTTCAGTCCAGTACATCTTGTTCGAATCCTCCTTAATGTATTCGCAGCAAAGGTAGGTCCGCTTGTATGTCCGTGGTCCAGTCGTTCTCCTTGTAAACTGTAAAATTTTTGAAAGAAAATTGTAATAACAAATTATATTTTCAAAATGTAAAACAAATTATACCTTTGATTGAACTTGTGACAAGTTTCTGGACGAGTTATATATACGTTGCTGTTCTTCTTTATAATGAGCACGACGTCCACAAACGACAGCACTTCTTTCTATATTCACGTGAATAAATGACATACAATGACATATAAATAAATATAATATTTCATATATAAATTATGAAATAGTTATACAAATTGATACTTGATTCAAATAAACACCGCACATAATGATCACACTACACTAAACTTTAATTTTGTTTGGAAGAATGCTTTCCCGCACGTTATACAAATTGATACTTGATTCAAATAAACACCGCACATAATGATCACACTACACTAAACTTTAATTTTGTTTGGAAGAATGCTTTCCCGCACGTACAAGGGATGTTTTTAATCCATGATGTAATGGAATACCAGTGCCAGTCATCCCGCAGGGCAGCCGAATTTTATATGCAGCAACTATAATAACTGATGAAAGCGATTTCTTCAAGGACCAAGCTCCTCCTCCTGAAAAGCATGCCTGCTATTGGCTGCTAGCATATTGCATTTTTTTTCCTCCATACGTACTATACTTTTCATGAAGGAGACAACCGACTTGTCCTTGGATAAAGAGAGTGTCCAATTACTTTTGGCATAAGCCTATATTTTTCGCGCTTTATTATGGCGGCATTTACCATCAAAGGACAGGCGTATGTATTACAAGGAATCCTATTTCCAGGGGCTTTGTCCTTGAATAAAGAGAGTGTCCAATTACTTTTGGCATAAGCCTATATTTTTCGCGCTTTATTATGGCGGCATTTACCATCAAAGGACAGGCGTATGTATTACAAGGAATCCTATTTCCGGGGGCTTGTCGAACATGTGTTTGGTCATAAATCTTTTCACACATGGTCCTTCCAATTCGGTGGAAGGAACATTCGGTCCTAAAAAAAATTTATTTCTGCTGATTGAGAACCCGATCACAACTATATTTAAAAAAACTTTGATTCTTACAGGTTTTACATTCTAGTATAGTATACATGTAAGATGCAACAGGATTCGGAAGCCATGGTTACAGCTGACTATATGAAATTCCTATACAGCCAACCAAGGCTCCCAAATCCAATTGCAACTGTATATCCTGTAGAGTGAATGAGCAGAAGGTGGGAACACAGTCAGTATATAGTAACGATACGAGATACGATACGATACGATACGAGATTGCGGGAGTCTGGGCTATGGTCTTATCAATTTCCAGACAAATAACCCAGGCTACCGAACCCAATCACAAATTTTGAAACAAAGCAGAAGGTCCTAATTGGATGGAGGAAGCCTGGGCTACGGTCTTATCAATTTCCAGACAAGTAACTTAGGCAGCCTAACCCAATCACAACTACAAATCAGCCAATCCGAAGTAACGGGATGGTGGGAGTTTGGGCTATGCTGGTATAATTGATTTCCAGACAAGTAGCCAAAGCTCTCGAAACCCAATCACAACTCTTTCAGCTCAACAGTGGGTTTATACCGAACCCAATCACAAATTTTGAAACAAAGCAGAAGGTCGTAATTGGATGGAGGAAGCCTGGGCTACGGTCTTATCAATTTCCAGACAAGTAACTCAGGCAGCCTAACCCAATCACAACTACAAATTTCACACCACAAATCAGCCGATCCGAAGTAACGGGATGGTGGGAGTTTGGGCTATGCTGGTATAATCGATTTCCAGACAAGTAGCCGAAGCTCTCGAAACCCAATCACAACTCTTTCAGCTCAACAGTCGGTTTAGTAACGGGATGGTGGTACTTTGGGATATGGTCTTATACAGGTCACGACGAGTACCCCAGATTACCACAAACCCCATAACAATTCATTTCCTTCACATGTGCACGTTGTCACGGAATACTTTCATAATTACATTCACAACTCATTTTCTTCCGGAACCTTCAAACTACATGAACTATAAGAATGAAGAACCTGTAAAGAACCCCGAATCCCACTGAAGAGATTCGAACTCAGGAGATCCGAAATACAAGCCAGTGTTCGAACCAACTGAGCTACCCGCCTCGGGCATTGAAAGAATAAGTTGAAACAGAAACTTAACTTTCAAGTAGGATACAAGATTTCCAACTGTGACACAGTTGAATTTTGGAGAAAAAGGTTAGGCGCCTCAAAATTGGTTGCTAAAAACCCGTGAAACATGCATACGTTGTATACTTAACTATAGGGAAAGAGAGAAAGTCGGTATAGTAGCAACCAAAACGGAGGACGCCCTCCATTGGGGTGCAGAGGGTTGGCTAAATACAACAAAGTAATTTAGCGACACCATAAAACTGCAGCTGTCGAGGAAACCCTGACGTAAACAGCTGAGGAATTAGGACAGCATCACATTTCTTCCTTTGCCTCGGAAAAGGTTGTGTCACACAATACTTCTAAAAGAAAAGTGTGTTACACAATATTTAAAAAAAATTGCTATTAAAGTATTACAAAATGTGACCCCAAGAAATGGAAAATATGAACAATTTACTTCACTTGGACTCATCTTCGTTCTGCACCCACTTAACGCTACTTTGTTTTTGCCAGTAGGAATAATTTCAACATTTCCGGATGTACAATAATATGCTTCTTCATTTATATAGGCTTCCACATCCTCTGCTGCTGCATTATCAAAATACATTCCTGCAGCACCATCAGCACACGCCGAATCTTCACCTGAATTGGTCAGTGTGACCGTCCTTTACGATGCATTTGCCTTACGTGATGAAGAAGGTAAGTTATTTGAATACCAAATCTATGATTTCTTAACATGTGCTTAATGTACTTTTTACATATATTGTAATTGTAGGAAATGTCGCAAGCAATCCGCCAAAGTGTTATTTGGATAACACCGCTGAATCTGTTGCTGCTTACGGTGCTTTCATGCACTGGGCTTTGGAAGGCCACACCCACATGCATGATTTACTCCAAGATAAGGAACCGAACTACAATGGTACGTAATATATTTCAAGACTTGTATTGAATAACGTGTTACCTAAACATTAAACATTATTTTTGATTTGTACTATTGCAGGACCTAACAATGACTGGAGGGAGAAAAGTTGCACATTTACCCTTGACCGCGGGTTTGTGCAGAAAAATTTTGGTCCATCAGAATTTAATGACGACCCTCTATGGGACTTCCCATGCCATGCCGTTCCAGGAGTCATGTCCTGCACTGAAATTCATTTCCCCCAGAGGGTGTACGAAGGATGCTTGGATATTCAGAGGATTACACCTCAGGAGATTGTTAATGTCCCACTCGGCATGGTAAGTATATTGAACTTGCATATTAACCTTGTATCCAAGTATAATGACAGAAAGTAATGTACATAATGTACGTAACAAAAGAAATTTCGGGAGAATAACTGTAAAAGATGAAGCACTCATCCTCGTTCTGAATAATGATAATCAATATCAATATCTTTATGATCAATATCTTTATCAATATCAATATGATTCATGAATAATATCTCATACAAATTATGTAATGAGATGTATGCATGAGATAATACATTTTCATCATTTTGGTCGCTTAGGATAAAACTCCTGTTCCCTGCGTTATGCTTGTTGCTGCGGAGTATAACGACGAGGACTTCGGATTATTCATGCGTCTGGATGACCTGGAAGAACTGATTCTTCGAGTCAGAGCCTACTGTGGAACCCTAATACGCATGGCTATAAGTGAGACAAACATTGACAGTGATGCTGGACCAGGTGATCATGCCAATGAGGACGTCGACAACATAAAAGTTAGTACTTTAATAATCATCACGTAAACCTTATACACACTTCTTCATGCAGTAATTATTTAAATATTCAAGTTTGCTCTTCGAAGTTAAATCCTCATACCTCATTATAAATGGTAATCATCATTATCATTATTTTCAGTTATGTCCACTTTACGATGTAATATTTGATAGTTGATACTGGGACACTTCATATTGCGTGTAACTCAATAGAAAAGTAAACGATAACGTATAAGAATTGCGAATGCTTCCATGAAATATTTAATTCTCATTGACATTTCAGAAGAAAAGCCGTGGGTTGTATAACTCCCTCATCGTCCGAGCCGTTTTTCAAGCGGATTCCAGTGGGGGCATCAGGAATTACGGGACGTGTTTTGTACGAAAACCTGGAATAAGAAAAACCGACGCAGCTCCCCCATTCACCCAATTCAGGATCGACTGCCTTTTTGGTCATACTTCAAAATCATAATATTGTCAACTTCCAATCAATGAGCATATGTGTATGTGTATAAAGTCGGTATGTACATAATATTGAAAACGTACGAACAGAATTTATGTCTTCCAAAGGACGGGGCTGAAAAGTTATTTCAATTGGAGGAAGAAGTACAGAATACAAACTTGTTGGATGCAGATGGGGCGGCAACATTACTTCATGAAATACGAAGCATGCCAAACGAAAAGCAATGCTTCTCATTCGACGGGGCTGTGGGAACTTTTGCATTCTATAGATGGGTGTGTATCAATATAGTATTATAACAGTTGAAGGTTAGTTACTCGTATACACATACACATATTTCAGCCATACATGTATTATAACTTTTGCATGCTTGTCTTAAATACAGAAGGTTTCCTGCCCCGACTTTTCAATAAAGTGTTGGAGGAAGAAGTACAGAATACAAATTTGTTGGATGCAGATGGGGCGGCAACATTACTTCATGAAATACGAAGCATGCCAAACAAAAAGCAATGCTTCTCATTCGACGGGGCTGTGGGAACTTTTGCATTCTATAGATGGGTGTGTATCAATAACACGGTTTTTTAATATGTTTTACGATGGTTAATATTCAACATTTTCTTCAATTTTCACAGTTAACCAATGCATATGACATACAAGCAATTACTGTCATAGGAAGGTATCTGGAGGAGAACAACATGATCAACACCGACAATTATGCAAAATTCAGATTCTGGTTCCAAAAAGTTTTTCGGAAAAGGAATACAACATGGAATGCGTTCAAGACGTGTTTTTCATATCAGGACATGGCTAATCGACTTTCCTTGGCAGCGCTTGAGTAATTTGTTATTTGATATGCTATGGCCTCTGATGATTTTTTGGGGGTTTTAGTTGTTCAACTGCGTTTTATAAAAAGCGTTTGATACATTGAAAGCATATGCGTTTCTTTCCTTTCATCATCACATTTAAGGGGGTGGGATGCTGGGGGTGCCGTGCTGATATAATGCAAACATTTTGTAAATTTTTGAACATTGTCCAACATTTCTATTAACTCAATCACTTTTGAAAATCCTTTTTCGGAAAAACCAAAAATTTAGGAAAACTGAAAAACGCATGTAATGCAATAATCTGTAAGTTTTGCTTCGTATCCTTTTCAAAATACACCTATATAGTTAGAAAACTCATTAAGCGTGCATGTAATTTTATAAGAAAGTAGAAGTTTGATTTGGTCTCCTTTCCATCCCGCGAATGATATACAGTATCTTATTACCAATAAAGAAATACTTTACTTCAACTACCGTTGTTTGCGAATAAGTAATGTTTTTTTTAATGGTTTTCATGCATTCTTTGCCTTTGCAGATGAGTCATCACAAATCACCAGATTTTTCATTCCTGACCCTTGATGATTACCGCAGTTTCATCCGTGCATTCCGAAAAAGAGTGAGGGGTCCTGATGCAGAATCCTCAAGTGTCGACCTTGAAAAATGTTGGAGGAGGCCTGTGCAGGCGCGTATTATTTGTATACTTAAAGAAAAGTTTGTGTCGTGGACAACGGCTCTGGAACTTGCAAAGCATGTTCCGTTTTGTGTTCTCAAGAAACTGAACCTGAACCTCTACACCAGCAAGTACTTCTTGAGATCATCAGCACTCTCAGCAATGTACACCGGGCCTCATGCTGAATGCAGTAAAAATGCTGAAAGCATTGAGGAAATTTCCATGCCTACGTCAGAAAATTCTTCTGCATCAGGAATTTGCCCAGGTTAATATTGTTGCCACCGTATATTTCACCGTGCATTGTAAAATTATGTATACCACTTCATTATACAGGTCCTCATCCTGGTCCAAATATTCAGCTAGAATATGCTAGCGACCCAAGTGATGATGAAGCAGACGTGATTCGTGACAATAACATTGTCAAAGTTGCTTACTGAACCTGAACCTCTACACCAGCAAGTACTTCTTGAGATCATCAGCACTCTCAGCATTGTACACCGGGCCTCATGCTGAATGCAGTAAAAATGCTGAAAGCATTGAGGAAATTTCCATGCCTTGCAGTCTCTTAAGAAGACGTAGTCCTTAAACGGGTCCAATTATAACAACGGTGGCAAATAAATTGGCACGTAACATTTTAATACATATGGTGAAGTAATATGTCCAGGAGTAGGACCAGGTTTATATCAGCTAGAATATGCTAGCGACCCAAGTGATGATGAAGCAGACGACGTGATTCGTGACAATAACATTGTCAAAGTTGCTTTTCGCGGACCTGATTTATCAGAAGACATAGTTAATAACTATGCTTTCATTTCCTTTGTACGACATTTCTTAATGATCTATGCAAAAATGTCAAGAAGACATTATGAAGAATTTGTTGCTGCAATGCAAAAGTTTTGCCCTGTGTCAAACTGGAATGAACTTCCGGAATCTGCAATTACTCTTATGAAGGTAGGTAAAATTGATTCCTTTATACTCAAAGTTCGTCAATCCATCTTAGTATGTTTGGAACATTGATAACATTCCGGAAGTGAAAGCATCATAATGAAATTTGTTTCACCTTAATTGTAATACGTTCATAATTCTTACGTATAATGTAAGTTTTGCCCTGTGTCAAACTGGAATGAACTGCCGGAATCTGCAATTACTCTTATGAAGGTAGGTAAAATTAATTCCTTTATACTCAAATTTCGTCAATCCATCTTAGTATGTTTGGAACATTGATAACATTCCAGAAGTGAAAGCATCATAATGAAATTTTTTCACCTTAATTGTAATATGTTCATAATTTTTACGTATAATGTACCTTTTATATGTTTTATCTCTGATAAAAGGTACCGGAAGGAATGTTTGGAAAGCCAAAAATTTACGCCGTTTCTGGGAAGTTGCCAAAGGTTTTGCAGTACAAGGAAGTTTTAACCAAAATTTATACTCAAAGTTCGTCAATCCATCTTAGTATGTTTGGAACATTGATAACATTCCGGAAGTGAAAGCATCATAATGAAATTTGTTTCACCTTAATTGTAATACGTTCATAATTCTTACGTATAATGAACTTTTTATATGTTTTATCTCTGATAAAAGGTACCGAAAGGAATGTTTGGAAAGCCGAAAATTTACGACGTTTCTGGGAAGTTGCCAAAGGTTTTGCAGTACAAGGAAGTTTTAACCAAAACGAATGGAATTTGGTACCTGCACTTGGGATTAAAAGAAGCTTTATTGGGAAAATCACCAGGTATTGCTTTATATATAGTCCACCTGTATATGGTGGAATTTCATTGAAAACTTTTGTTCAGTAAAAACTTATAAAAATAATTCATTCCCAACTTTTCATGCAGGTTTACTAAACAGAGAGGAGTATGCACGACTTTTAACTCAAGTACACGCCCTGCATGGTGATATTTTCACAAATGACTTCCTGTCAGCTCTTGAACCAAGCATCAAGAATGTATTGATGCATGGAAATACATTTGACCCAATAATGCCAAAAACACGCTCGCCAGCCGTACGTACAAGTGAAACATGCATTTGGATAGATTTACACATAGATGGTGTACAAGCGTTTGACAATTCAATGAATAAAGAGGTGAGTGGCGATACTTCAAATTATCGCTAACAATGATTTCATTTAATTTAATCGTAGGTAAAACCAATCTTGATGCGAGTATATGGGTTTGGCACAACTGACACTGTGTTACCGACAGTAATTGTGCCTTTGGAAAAATCGCATCCAATGATAATTGGTATATATCATGGACAAGGAAAACCAAATCTCTTTGGTTTCCTTCACTTAATGTTGGAGGAGGCACTGGGTCTTCATCCAGACTTCATACCGGAAAATAGGAACGAGGGAGACAAGCGTCCTTTTGCTGTAAGGGTTAGGTGCGTGATAGCAGATGGAAAAGAGAGGTCAATTTTAAAAGGTTAGTCACTTATTCCATATTTGGTGAGTTTAACAAATCTTTGTTTTTCATCAGTTGCATAAGTGTATTCTAAAACTATTGGATTCTAGTATAGTTTAATACAGACGTATTCATCATGAATTACTTAGTAAAAAATACATATTCAATTCAATAGACCCGCATATTAAATGCGTAATATTAAGATACTTATTGTACATGTGTGATTTAAGCCCCAAAAGAAAATTGAAAATAACGTTCCGCAACTTGTATATTGAATTCCTTTGCGTTCCAGAATGATTATCACGGTACGCACTGGACGCTTTACGTAACGTTACGTAACGATGAACGTAACGGTAAACGCGTTTAACGTTACGGTAAACCTGTTGAAGATACATAAAATGAAATGTTTAAAATGATATGAAATAAAATTAATGAAAATGGACAAATTAAAAGTATTTACTAATACAATTTAATATAATGATTCCCCTTGCCTTAAAATTTTTATGCTACTGCACTTCTTAAATATCATTCAGGAACAGCATCAAGTGGGTACAACTCATGTGAAAGGTGCGAGGCTTTTGGAGAAAATGTGGGAGGTTGTGTTAGATTTTCAAATTTGGACGCACCTGTTCGACATGACGCTAGTTGGGATGCATATACTGCACACAATGGCGATACGAAATTTGCGCACCGGCGTCATGATTCCCCATTCAATGATTACGGGATTGTGTCTATGGTTAGTATTACATGCTGCTGCATGGTATCTTCGGAAATTTTCTTTATTGTATACATTGTTGGTAATTAATTGTGGATGGATATTATACATGCAGGTACATGGCTTTGCTTTAGATGGCATGCACATCGTTGGTGGAGGTGCAGTGATCCTTGGTTTGAAAACACTTTTCGGGATTCATAAATTCATGGATTCCCGAGTGCGTGCTTCCTTAAGGGTAAATCTTGTTCTTGTGAACAAGTACCTGCAAGCTTGGTCATCACACACACTTTTGGAAGTCAACAGATGCGTGAGGACAATCGATTATATCGATCAATGGAAAATGCGGGAAGCGCACGATTGTCTAATGTACCACATGATCGCATTACTTGGAGTTCCAGAGCTTCGAGCTGGATTACAAGAAGAGAGGGTGGATGCTTTCATGTCGTTTGTGTATGCAATGCACCTAATTGGTCATACAACGCATGAAAGCCCTTCAACACGAGATGTTCAAATGGCTGAAAAACTGTTCAAGCACTACATCGAAACATTCAAGGAGGAAAGTGATTACTTTATGACACCGAAGAATCACGTGTTGATTCATCTGGCTCAAGAAGCATTTACGTACAAGTCACACTTGGGTGGCTTTGATGCATATCAATTTGAAAATTTCCTCCGCATTTTCCGTGACAAGAAACTTATAAGGAGTGGAACTTACGTATTGAAGCAATGCTTCAACAAATTATGTGAAAGAGCTCGTATGCGTGATGGAAGACTGTATAAACCTTTTTGGTTGAACTCGGTTTACTTCAACCCACTCCTTTAATTTGAAGACGCGCTCGAACCAAGGAATACGAACGGATTATTGTGACATGATGCGTGTGGTGTAATTGGAAAACTGAAGAAGATAGAATGTGCTGGCTTCACAATTACTACCATGTAAGTATTTCAAGAATTGTTCTCACATATGTGACGTTCTATCTGCACAATGCAATCTTAATTTTTTTAGATATCCAGACAACGTCATTGCCATGTCAGTCAATGGGAATACAGACACCATGAAGCACTTCAAGGCATGTGTTGTAAGAGACTTGAGACGTGATGCCGTAAGCAGAAAATTGTTCATCAAAGTTTCAAGCTTCCTGGTAATTAAACCGGCTCAACAGCAGTGGCGTTCAAGAACAACTCCATACCCATCCATGCGAAAATTGGGATGTTATCAAGTTGCCAATTTAGACAGTGTCGTGGAAGAGTACACAGTTGACTGTGTTGTTGGTAAATTTTTCCCATTTCACATGCACTTAGACATTAGTAAAAATCCTCTAACTACAAGTCCGCGGCAATCCTGGACAATTGTCAGACTGAAGCACACTTGTCCAGCTCAAACTCTGTGAGTTTTGTATATACTGTGTCATTGAGAATTACTTTTATTTTGGTATTGTACACTTGAACCTTGTTAAACCTGGTACTGAACTGTTGAACCTTGTTAAACCTCCAACCTTTGTCCGGAACGAACTTGGCGGTTTAACGGGGCGGTTTATTGGGGTAGCAGTATATAAGTGCTGACAAAATAGCAGTAAAAAGGGTTTGACAATGTAAACAGGGTTTGGCAATGTAAGAAGCATTTGTATGAACAGATGAAACCGAACCAATGCAGTGTTGACTCCTTTGATATGTACCATTTGTGTTATTTACTTTTTGTCATTTCGTGAATTGTATATTATACATGTATTTTTTACTTCTTGTCATTTCGTATATGAGTAAATGTACAACTTCATTCAAATATGTACATTGTGTTTATTCATCAGCATCACTCTCACCCAGTCACCCTGCACATGCAGGGTTAACGTTTTCATCATTATTTTCTTCATTATTTTCATCATTACTTTCATAATCATCATCGGAGGGGGGGGGACCCTCACCCTCGTCAGCCAATTTCCGAAGCAATGTTAATTTGTAATCGCACTCCGGATTTTGACATACAAAATAAAACAAGTGCCACTCTTGATCTGGAAACCACACATCTGCTTGATTTCCTTCTGAGCCGACCGCGTGCGAGAACTTGACGTTTTGGCCGCAGTGGGTCTGCGCCAGCATGTGTGCCCACACAGGTTGAATGTATTCGGTCCAGTACATCCTCTTCAGCAGCACTCGTCTTATATAAACTGTAAAATGATGAAAGCAAATTATTAGAAACACATTTATTTTGCAAAGGTAAGATTAATTACCAATGCCAATTCCGGTAGTTTTACGAGTTTCGGCGAACAGCACGATCTTAACTCCAACGATATTAAACCACGATCTTACACCAAGAGAAGGTCCTATGTATGAGCAGAGAATTGTAAGTGTAATGACATTTACTGGGAAAATGTACTCTGGGAAAATAAGCACCAACTTGTACATCACACTCAAACGGGGGCTTCAAATTCTTCAGAACCCCGATACTCTTTTCCATCACAAATGAATAATTCCCAATTAACCCCCGCGCGCGCGCATGAAATGCACGATGGTCACTATACACACACTGATTTTGCATTGGGAGGTTCCCTTGGGATCAGAACGCCCAGGTAGGATGAAGAGCTTATCCATCAGCGTGCGCATGATATGAGCAGCAATGCGCTGGTCACCATGCACACCCCCTGACGTTCCCTTGCGACCTTCCGTTGCGATACAACAGACGGTAGCGATACAAACGCCCCCCTACAAAAATATCTTATACATTATTGAATGATGCGTTGATATTATCATGTATTGTTTTCATGATGGTATGTTCTGTATGAGGGTACTTTAACAGTAATAAATATGTTGATTACTGTTTTCCAAAGCGTCCGTCGTCCAGTTGAACCATCTCGGACAATTATAAATGCCTTTACATGAACGTAAGAATAACATCTTTTTGATGTTGATGAAATGTACACTTTCGAGTGTGTGAAAGTGGTGAAGCAATAAAAAGAAACAGGCGACATAAGGGCGCCGCCGGAAGTAGTGCCTCTCATCCCTTCAATGTTCAGGCCGGGATGGGAGGATGCTGTTTCAAATCTGAGGGGCTCTTCTTCTCCTGCACAAAGAAGGGAGCAATAAAGTCATTTCCTGTTTCCGGAAATGTGTGGAAAGTAAGATGCGACTTGGTGATGTTTTACATCCCACACTGGGAGTCTATTGTTCCAGGTATTTGATTTCAACAATGTGGCATTAATTTTTAATTATATGGTATAAATGTTGCTTCTGTAATATCGTATCATGCATACCTAGCTGCACATTCATTGCTGCTGATTGTTTCCATCAGGTAAACGCTTATAATTGGTAAGAATGCTGCCTCCTATACAGGAATACATTATTAATTCCTCACATTAATGAAATATTATACAAAATTATGTGTAACTAAAGTATAGAAGCGTGTAACTAAACAAAAAAGGATGTATTAACCCGCCTCGGACGGTAACTTTACAAAGAAAGACTGCATTAAATGCTCAATTTTTCCATTTATAGCATGCAACTTTTAATCATATGTACATATATTCACTTCCTATATATAGTAGCCTTCTGCCAGAATTCCAACCGTATTATTGCATACTTCCTCTGAAGTAAAACTCCCCTTCAACTTCAAATCAACAATAGTAAAGGTATTTTCGGAAATGGCTGAGACTTCTTTCCTTTTTTCTGTGTGGTGGGCCTTGTCAGAATTGAGACCCATTCAATTTTTAATTGAAAGCCAAAAGAATTTTCTTTTATTCAAGTGAGGCCTCAGCATCCCTTTCCCAAATGGTCTTTTGTCAGAGTTGAGGCTCAATCAATAATATGCAGTTTATGCACTGTTTCCTTGGACTAGGTGATTTTCATGGGTTCATGTTGATGCATGGGATGACGCATTGTGTTCCAAGTCTTTATACCATTCATTTCCTCCATTTTTTCCCTCTGATGATGGTTCGTGGAATTACGGAAAGTCTGTAAAAGTGCCTCGTAAGTATAACATATGATTATGCGCGGGTGAAGAACGTAAATACAGTGAATTTCCAAAAGAATTGAATATATTTGCCCGACTTCGCCCTAGGTGAATTGTTCCTCTTTTTTTAAAAACCTGTCCTGACTGACACAAAATTTTGCGGAAAAAGTCAGACTTCGCCGCACAAGGGTTAATCATCTGCAATGAACCCCAGCAGGTATACATGTACAGTATATATTGACATCTCCCTTCCCCTACCGTCACCAGCACCACAATGAATGCGGCCACAGTTATTTGGGAAAGTAATCATGTGATTGAGACATTTGGTATGTTGAAGTATAGTACAGTATGTTAATATAGTGTGTATGAAGGTCCTTATTTCGTTAAATTCAGAATTTTGAGCTTGAACATTACAAACATTACCAAATAATGTTTCATTCCGATCATTACTTTTCAAAATAAAACTGGCCGCGACGTAATTTTCACCGGATGCTGATCAAAGGGCGTCCTCCACGGGGATTAGACCTACTTAAAACCCCTTTCTTTATCCTTCCTTTTTCTAACATTCTAATGGGAAAGTTAGAAAACTACGAATAAAAGGGATGCATTTGCTTGCTAAATATCATTCAACTTTCGACTCTGCGCGCAGTATAGGACATCCTCTTGGTTTGGTATCGATCTGCTTGGAGAAAAACTTGCGGAATTGCAATTTTTAGTTCATCTTAGTGTTGTGAAATAAATTTGTATTTAATAATTAGATTTTCTTTTACACCTATAGGACGACTGAAGAATATGTACTGGATTGAGTACAAAGACGCGTGGGAGCACATGCAGACCCACTGCGGACAAAACATCAAGTTTTCGCATGCTGTGGTCAACTCAGGTCAAAATCTTCCGGATCAAGAATGGCAGATGTTTTATTTTGTATGTGAAAATCCGGAGTGTAATTATAAAGTTACATTGTTCGGGAAAGGGGGTGATGGTGCGGCGGATGATGATGATGATGATGGAGATGATTCTGACGATGATGATGATGATTATGACAATGAACTACTTCTAAAACTACTACTGCTTTAACAATAACGTGTTCGACCCACTCCCACTACTAATGATTTATTTTACAAATATAATTTTACTTCAACATGAGAATAATTTCTTATTGTGTGTGTGTCCTTTAAAAACCAAAACAAGGAAAAGAACACTTTAAAAAGAAACACAAAGAAAATAAAATTAAAAACGCCCAAAAATACAACAACTCCAAAAAAATATTAACAATATTGGCAGCAATGTATATAATTGAGTAAAGTTGTATATCAAATCACTATACATTTTACAAAACGAAAAAGAAACACAGAAAAGAAAAAACAAGAATAACACCCAAAGTAAGAAACGCAGAGAAAATTAACAATTGGCAGCTACGTATATATTTAAATACATTTGTACATTAACTAAATTTGACTACAAAACGAAAAAGAAACACAGAAAAGAAAAAACAAGAATAACACCCAAAGTAAGAAACGCAGAGAAAATTAACAATTGGCAGCTACGTATACATTTAAATACATTTGTACATTAACTAAATTTGACGAAATGACTAAAAATAAAAAACAGGTGCCTTCCTCATTGTCAACACATGGATTCTGCGATAATTGCTTCTTGCTGACTTGGATTTCCCTTTTCTGTGATTGCTGTATAGGTGAAGAAGCTTGTCCACTCGTTAATGATGTCATTGAGACATTAGGTATGTTGAAGCTCTAATTTCTGAATTTAAGAAAGTAAAGACCACTCGTAAGCGGATCGAGCGTATATGTTTATATGCAGATCTTTTATTGTCACTTTAATTTGTTATAAATTGTGTTGTACATGGAAAAACACGCAGTATTTAATTTCAATACACCTTTATTTATTCACTTTATAAATGCATTTATTGACGCGTCCGAAGCAATGTTATTTTTTACAAACTTGCAGAATTTCTGCACACGAAATATTACATGTAATAATACATAATTCATATAATACATATGGATGGAGCGTATATGTTTATTTCCATTTATTTTATCACACGGTAGAATTGAATATTTTTTACGAACTTGCAGAATTTCTGCACACGAAATATTACATGTAATAATACATAATTCATATAATACATATGGATGGAGCGTATATGTTTATTTCCATTTATTTTATCACACGGTAGAATTGAAAGTTGAAGGATGCCCCCCCCCCTATAATTGATTGGATGAATGATTGTGACGGTTGGTTAAAATAGCAATCTTAATATCCGACAGGAAGCAACCTTTTCCTAATGTAACCCATCTAGGGCAGGAAGAGAGAAATACATAATGAGAATTGCTTCATGTGTTGAAGCCTCTGGGGTGGCACCGTGCCGCATCAGTGTCCCGCCGTAGTCGAGAATAGGAGACCTATGTGGTGAACATTTTTGCGTGTGTAATACAATAATATAATATCCCTTTTTTGAACTATTATCTTGTTAGTCTCAGCAGTAAATTGTTAGTGAGTTCATAACACACTTGTTACTTTAATGAATATGAAACAAATTAGCTAATTTATGGAATCTGCTTCATATAACATTTGCGAGTTATTGCCTGTGTTTGTAAATTTTAGCAATAAGTTTTGTTGCTCTATCCTTGGAAGTTTTGTTTTGCAATTCAATCGACTTGTAAGTATGACTTTTGGACAAAACTTAGCAGAAAATCCTTCTTTCTCATTCATACGTCAAATACGTGACAAAGGAACCTGATCCACTAAAAGTACCCAAGTACAACTACGTACCCTACTGCGTAACACAAGGTTCAGAAATATGGTAAGTAAAGGAGGCAAAAAAGGGAGACTACTACCAATGTGGAATTACAGAAAGTCTGTGAAAGTGCCGCGTAAGTATAACATTTGATTACGCGCGGGTGAAGAACGTAAATACAGTGAATTTCCAAAAGAATTGAATATAATGAATAACGAAAACATTGTACATCTGTGCGATCAAGTAACGGGTACACTGTTGCCATGGCTCAGTACTATGGCACCTGATGACCGGCGTTGTGATTTAATAAAGCAAGCAACGACAAAATCATGGAATGATTGACAGGAGTTGCCATACTTTGAAGTGACAAAAAAGGATACGTTTAAACATCTACTACGATCCAAACAACAAAACTGTGTGTACGACCTTCAATATGAATTGGTGAGTATCATAAATTCTGTTTATGTAAATAGAAGTATGTTCTGAATCATGGGATGTTACAATACAAAATTACAGAATCATGATGAATTTAATGACAAGTTAACGATGAAATCACGTCATTAAATGAAACATTCCACATTTAAAATGTTATGAAACGGAGTAATTTCAAGGGTATAAATCGAGTGATCCCTGTTCAGTATGCCCTGTTCAATAGCCCCGTTCCATAACGGTACAGGACTTAGTCCCGTTCTGCAGCAATCCCTGTTCAATATGCCCTGTTCAGTAGCCCATTCCGTAACGGTACGTACAGCTCCGTAACGCGCCAGGATCATTTGTAGGAAAAAAATGGAAAACACAAGTTGACTCAAATCATCTTGTTTTGGACTCTTCACATTACAAACAACAATTCAGTACAGTACTCACAAAATTTACACAAACATAAAAAAAACAACTTTTGCGTACGTCATGTCTTTAGTTGATATATGTCGTATTTTAATTGCCGTTATACTTGTAATGGATTTGGGTTTTTAATTAACGGGTACGTGAACAAGAAGTTAAGGTATTTCTTGTAGAAGTCCTTAACTGCATTTGGTTTGCATTCCGAAACGGGCAATATCAGTCTGGTATTCCATTCCTGTATTAAGATTTCCAAAACATTCATTAGAACAACTTGAAAAAATGTGTATCCAGTGCATTCTAGCAATTTGAAGGCAGAGAGAATCCCTGTCAGCCTGCAAACTTCTTCGTAAATCTCAGTAAAAAGGAGGAGGACAAACTAAGCGAGGTTCTTACCGGAAACATGGGAAGCCTTTAACTCTATCAATAGGAGGTCCTTCATGTTCATGTATTGTCATGATAGCCTTTAAAGACCTTGTTATAATTATTACTATGTAATTTCTGAATGTAAAATCATGTTTCTATCCGTACCTCGGTGCATGTTGTAGTATATGTCGTATTGAACATCAGACAAGGTGATTTTGGGGATGACGGTCACTCTGTTAATACCCAACAGAATGTTATGTTGACGTTGTTTCTTCACTTGATATTCTTTGTACTGGAACATAATTTGTTTCCCGGTTTTATTCATCCTTTGAACATGACGCAGGTCCATATTCATTTCTGAAATTGAACACAGTTTATGCATTAATTGTCCTCTATATAACCAATATTATAATCAAATTACCAATCTCCATTTCTTCAGTCTCAGTCATTGTTGGCATGTATGTTTTCCTATAATACCCAACGGAGTACGTGTACCCCTTTGTTTTTTTAAAAACCTCTGAATACGTAATGTCGACAGTTTCGTTTGTCAAAATTTTCTCTGCCAATTCCTCGGGGAAAAAATTTTTCCCCCACAAGTCGACACCTTTGCTCCTTATGCTCCTGTACGCATCGTATAAACCCGCCCCGCAGGGTATGTCACAACACCGAGCAGTGCACATGGGGGGATCTGGACTGTTGATTTTGGGTGGTGTGTAGTCTTCATCTTCATATCCTTGAAATTCCTATTGCTGTTCCATGAACGCAGCCAATTGTATTTCTCTTTGAATGAAATCATCATCTCCTTGAATGAAAACAGCATTAGAATCATTGTCCGACTCATTGTCAGTTTCCAATATTGTAGAAATTGGTGGTCCAAATTGCAACTCCATTTCGTCTAATTCTGCTTCCACTTCATGGTAGGGGAATGCAGGATCATAACTTTCATGTTCCAATTGGCTGGTTTGTAAGAATTCCCCTTCATATTCCCCTTCATAGATGCTTTAAAGGCTGTCTGACGATTCCTTCTGGTTGCTGGTTTGTAGTTGTTTCCTCTTCTGATCGGGACACATGGAAAGAGATTGCCTTGCCAAGGCAACTCTTTTAATTACCAAGATAGCAGACTGGGCATTTGACAGTATTTTAGGGCATGATGTGCTTAAAGCTGTAAATGCTGGGATTAATTTTGGGAAGAAGTGCCTTATTATGTCCAAAGTCTGTATCCCTCTCTTTTCGGAAAGAGATAAAGGCTTTCACCTCCGCAAGGAAGTGTACAAAATATCAGGACAGAAGGAAGCATCTTTCCGAGTATACCCGGTCAACACTTGCACTATACCAAAAAATTCTCAGTCTGTCCTCTGGGTGAGACCTAGCAAGGATATAGGCCTCGTCTTAGAAGACCGATCCATCTTAGTTGATAACTTCCAGAATGGGGGAATAATTGTTGCGAAAAGTCTGTCAAAAGTGCGAAAAGGGAAAATCAGGATTTTGTGCCTAAACGTTACTGACCGGGATGTACAGGTTACCCCGCGCATGACGGTTGGCATAGGATCCATCAACCGTATCGAGATGGCCACCAGAATGATGACAAAATCTACCAAGAAAGTTGTTGCGACAACTAAAAGATCAGCAGGAAATGACGCCAATAACAAAATACATGGGAAGCTGGAGAAAGAAAACTTAGAACAGCTAATTGATGAGAATTTAAGCTCGTCCGAATGTCCATCAGAATACATAGAAGTAGTCCGAAAGATGCTGCTATAATATCGGAATGTGCTGGCAAAGAAATCTGACCAGCTCGGACTATGTCCCATGTACGAGGCAGATATACCTCTCGACACGGAATCTCCAATTTATACCCAACAGTACCCTATCTCGTACGAGATGAGGTCATTAGGAGAAAACGTCGAGGATCTCCTCGATAATGAAATAGTACAGCCCTCCACTTCTCCATATAACAGCCCAACCTTAATGGTCAAGAAGAAGGATGGAGGATGGAGGATGGTGGTCAATTTCTGTAAGCTTAACGAGCACGTGATAACCGATCCACATCCCCTACAAAGAATTAGTCAGATTTTTGAAGAATTAGGATTGGCAAGGTTTTTCTCTGCCCTCAATTTATTGCACGGATTTTACAATATTAAAATTAGAGAAGATGAGAGGTGGAAAACTGCCTTTTCCACCCCCATGGGCCATTACGAGTTTGTTAGATTGCCCATGGGTTTGAAAAATAGCCCGAGTATATTCCAACAATTAATGGATCTAGTGTTGGATGGATGTTTAGGATCATATGCGTACATTTACGTGGACAACATAGTGATCTACTCCAGAACAGCCAAACAACACATGGCGCATTTAGAAGATATCCTTAGTAGATTGAACAAATCCGGTTTAAAAATAAAGTTTTCAAAATCTCAACTGTTTAAGACACAGATTGAGTATCTTGGATTTTTAATTAGTAACGAGGGTATTAAGGTAAATCCCATTAAAACGGATGCCGTCCAAAACTTCCCTACACCAAAGAATATCAAAGGCGTACAAGCCTTTCTTGGCTTAGTGGGTTATTTTAGATCTTATATTAGGGATTTTGCAATGAAAGCGAGACCCTTATATAACCTACTAAAAAAGGACACGGAGTTCAGTTGGGGAAAAGAGCAAGAAGAGACAAAGAAATGCCTAACGCAATGTCTTCTAGACGCCCCAATCCTGTCCTTCCCTGATTTTGACAAAGAGTTTATATTACCAACAGATGCGTCAGGATATGCAATTGGTGCAATCCTGACTCAGAAAAAGGACAAGAAAGAAGTCCTTATAGGTTGCGCATCAAGAACTCTGAATGGAGCAGAGTCTAGATATTTGAACACCGATACAGAACTCCTGGCTGTATATTATGGAGTGTCCCAATTCAGGTCATACCAGTGGGGACATAAATTTAAAATCCAAACGGACCATATCGCGATCCCATATTTGGCTTGACAAAAGAACAGCAAAAGCAGGAGAGCCATCGGATGGTTCATGGCCCTCAACAAATATGAGTATACAGTTAAATACAAAAGAGGGTTGAGCATTCCACACCTGGATGCTCTAAGTTGGTTCCCACCGGAGAAGAACAAAAAATTATGCACATATCTGTCACCCGTGTTCAAGAGAACGGACTTGTTGCCGTATATTTCCAGGGATCTCATCGCAAATGAGACAGAGAAAGTGGGCCACGTCCCTGCGGGCAAACAATACAGCAAGCAGGAGGAACTAATCATCAATAAGGAGAAAGAGGGCTCGCGTATCTGGGTCCCGCCCTCTCTGCGCCTGCGAATCATTGCTCTATTCCACTATCCCCCGGCAATGGGACACAGCAGAGTGGACAGAACAACATATGCGCTTTGACAGGAATTTGCCTGGACCAATTTAGAAAAGGATGTGGGCGATCACATCAGATCCTGCAAAGTATGTCAAGCTAATAAGCACTACGCCCATTGAACGCCATATATGACAACAGGCGTACCAAAACAATGTTTTGAAGAGGTAAGCATGGACATAGTCGGACCAGTCCCTAGCAGCTCAAAGGGTAATCGCTATATTCTGGTTATCCAGGACAGATTGTCCCAATGGATAGTGTTCTCCCCAATGAGGGAGGCTTCTTGTTTTTAAGCAATTGGGTTTGTTTACTTGGGCCCCCAAAGAAGATATTAACCAATAGGGGGACAAACTTTTTGAGCAGTATATTTTGGGACATGGTCAGGTTTATTGGGGCACAGGCCACCACGACCACTGCATATTGACCGCAAGGAAATGGGCAAAACAAAAGGGCCCATCGCAAACTGCATGAATACCTAGCCTTGTATTTGGATCCAGATAACAGGCAAACGTGGGACAAACTATTGAAGTTCGCGGCATGGGTGCATAATTTGTCAAAACACGAGGCCCTACAGGCTTTGCCTTTTGAAGTAGTTACGGGCATGAAACCTTGTAATTATTGGGTCCCAATGTACATGGACAAAGCGCAGCTCAACGAGATTAAGAACGAGAGCAGAAAAGAAGAGTTTGAAGTAATACGCGATTGTGCCCAGAAGGTCATTAGGAGGAACCAAGCGTCGTACCTAGACAGGATAAATATCCACAAGAAAGGCGCCAACTACGAGATTGGCAATAAAGTATGGATACGACGCAATGACGCTGCTACATTTGTAGGCAGAAAGTGGTCCCCAAAATATAAAGGACCGTACACAGTCATTGATAGAATCAACCCTGTAGTAATCAGGGTACAGGATGACAAAAACCCAGACTGGACAGACGTAATCCACATCAGTTAGGTATGACCGTATAAGATACGATGGTCCTCACCAGTTCCCTCGCCAACACCTTTGGAAGAAAAGGATATACTCGAAGTACTGGACAATGACCAAAATGACAATGCCCAAAAATGGAAATGGGAAGGCCCTCAGAGTATTGAAGACAAACAGTGGGAAACGGACAAAGAAGAAGAAACTTCTGTAGCCACAACAACTACTGGAGAAGAACAGCAAACAAAAACGCTGGGTTCCAAAATCCATAAACATCCAGTAGACAAACAGGCTGTTAAATCTATTTTGAAAAGGCAGAAAGAATCCAGAGAAAAGTAGGATTCATCGGCTTTGCAGTCCGAACAAGAAGATTCTTTCGTATCAGTGCCAGATTTAGACGCAACAGTAATACCAGCGTCACCAGAAAGAAAGACAGGGTTATTTCAAAAGACTAAAGAAATATTTGGGGAAGTCACTGACAAAATCGGGAGATTTTTTGATACCACTACGGATACTGTACCAAGTCTATCCAAAACTGTCCTTCAGAAAAGACCACCACCTGCCTCTAGCACACCCGAATTGATGAAGCAACTGACAGCAGGAAGAGGTGGAGGAACACCTGAAAGAACACCTGAAAGAATGCTGCAAAGAGAAGCAGAAGGAGCAGTTGCGTTAACTCCGAGGCAGGTACAAAACAAAGAGAAGTGGAAAAAATTCAAGGAAAAGAGAGACAGCAAGAAAAAGGATAGAAGGTTGTCCACGCAGTCTAGAGACAAAGAAGAGGAAGGTGAAGCAGCAGAGGATGATGACAAAACAGAGAAAGAGAGGGACGACAAAGGAAAAAGAAAATTAGATTTAAATCCGATGGATTGCCCCTTGCTACGTCATTTGGACTCGGACAATGTGTTGCCAACCAGAACGAGGCCAAAGAAAGAAATGAAAACCTCGTGGCAATGACCGCTGACAAGGCAGCAAGCACGCATGGCTGAACTGCTCAAGGCCAAGCGGGCCAGGAAAAAGACTGAGGCACCAAAAGAATGAAAAAACCCTGCAGTGGCCAGTACGCAGTCCGCCGTCAAAGGGTTAACATTTGTTCGAAATTGTAAACACAAATTATGGAAGTGTATGGAAAAATTGTGGAAATATACATTTGTATATGTATCATGGATGTGTCTTTTTCCCTCACAATTAAGGAAATCCCCATCAACTACAAAGGTACGTCATCGAATCTAAATAGGTTTGATAAAACGTCCCCCATACGCAACTTTCCCGGTAGCGTTGGCGTTGTTTTGGAAGAAATGTATCCAATATGTGTACCGAATAGTTATTGGACGTTAGAATCCTCTGTAGATGTAGGAGAATTGGTTAAGCAATCTGACATGATTACCACTAAAATCTTTAATCATGTGACAGTATTCCATTTTAGTATTTAAATTAGAATTTATTCTTTGGTACCATGTAATCTGCGTTATCTCAGAATATCTCCGCAGATGCTCGTACAGTGGTTACATGATAACGTGAATGGTAGAAGTTTATTGAAGTTTTAATTGTAAATTTCTAAGTATGTTTCCAGAATCTGGATCTACGGACATCATGACGAGTATTCATAATGAACCCTGTGTCGAGGTGGGCTTGACATTCAATCCATGTCTATACTGTACGTTCAAATACAAGTATCTTACTGTATTCAACATGAAAATAACTATGTACTGTACCGTATATTCTTCGGAAAATATTCCCAAAAGCTTGCATTTTATGTATGATTGTTTGACTGAAACGACTCTGCCTAACGTTCCGTAAATTGAATTGACTGCCGCTCAAGACCTGAATAATATTTAGTTCTCGATATAAAAAAATCACCAAGACTTCAAACAATTCGAAGCATCTTTCTTTATCATGCCGTTTTCTCCTTTGAAGCATTTTTCTTTTTCGCGAAAAATGAGATGCAAACCAATTTTTTTCTCGGATTAATATTCAATTTCGATTCACAAAACGTCAGAAAACGTCTTAGAATCAAAGGCATCTTAGTTTCGCACGTTAGATGCTCCCATTTTCAATGCATGGAGGATATATTTCCATTTATGATATGTGCTTGTGTGGTGAAGTTTTAGTTCATCCTGTACAACGGAGTTGTTGGGAAGCAAGTGACAGTTATACCAGATTTTTCAGGTCACATTTTCCAGTTTGAACGAGGGTGAATCATTAAAATTTGAATAAGAATTAATGTTGTACTTCCGCTTTACTTTGGGGCCAAAAACGCTGAATAAAAAGGCAGTTTGGGAACTTTGGAATTTATCCTATATAATATATATATATATATATATAGACTGAGACACATGGTGCAAAAATTAGTTCACGATATTATATCCAGGAATTCGTCAAACAGGATTCCGATATGGCTTTGCAGAGGACCAGGAATGATAAAGCCAAGAGAACCAGGAACTTGCCATTGCTTCTGTGACACGGTAAAGCAGCGTGCACTCGTGTTACCAGACTCACGCAGCATTCATTCACCCGGTTCAGGAATTGCTGCCCGAGGGCTCCCACGAACGTCTCCCAAATCACATTTTGTATGCCAGCGTTCGCTTGCTAAACCCACTCAGGAGACCAAGTGCCCGAAATGCATTGGCATTATTTGCAAGCACGTGTAGGAGTGCATCAACGGCGGATGCCGCCCCGAGGGTGCCGTTCCCGAGGAAGGAATAAAAAACCGTTGATGGCTTATTTCCGTGCGAAGCATCCACGCTTCCAGCGTTGGGCGCCGTTTGACGCCTTGGGGAACTTTGGCCGTACTGTTTGGATCGCTCGGCTGCATTTCCAGCCTCCGAGACGCTCCGTGACAATGCCCTCATTGCCCCGAAAGAACCGACGATGAGGTTTGTTACGATAATTGGACGTTCGTTGCATGGTTATCCGGGGCGAGTAAATGTGATCAGGGATATTCCGCGGAATGATCGACTATCGCCCGAAATGGGCTTGCAGATAACTTGCGAGAAGAACATTTCGGGTTCCTGGGTTTGGTTTTCAACCGGGTGCATGTTAGAAAGAGCAAGTCACACAATAGCAAGAGCTCTGGAGCGCTGGAGCAGGGAGCACATCAGAACAGCGAGAGCAAAACTGAGTCCAGTATTAGTACAGCAGTACCTCAAAACTTGAGACCCCTTGGAGCCACCTCCTGATTTTCTCTTTTGTAAACTTACCTGTTTCGAATCATTTACTCTTTTGTGTGCTGCTGTTTTGGCAATCGCTATTTTGAACGCCGTCTGTTGTTAATTGCAGTCCTTAATCCTTAATCATGCTTGCTATTTCAACCAATGGCATGTGCAACATTTGTAGGGTCACACCAGAGGGCGCCAGGGCACATGGCTGCAGATGTGTGCACAGCAGAAATCCCGCTGTGCAGCTGGTTTACTGCTATGTGGCAAAGTGGTAGAAAGAATGGAGACGAAATGAAATGGACTGGCAGGAAGACTTCACTTGAAGCTCTTGCCTGCAAAAGGAAGGACCTGCTGCTTTTATTTATTTTGAGTGGACTATTTTGACTGTACAGTGAATTTCGATTCTGTGTGTGCATGGGCATGTGTTAAGAATTCAGAGTCTGAGATTTTGTAGGCTTTTGAGAATGCCGCATCTTTACTTGCACCCTCCTGTCTTTTGTGCCTGAATAAACCTAAGGGACTCCATTAAGGAGGATCCAGCAGCCACCTAATGGCTGACCAACACATATTCATTTCATTCATCTTAGTTGTCCTTAACCAGCCTGACAGCATTTGCTGGACAATATACAAGAACCATGAAAAATGGGATAAAGTTGAGCGCTAAACTTGGACTTGAATGTGCTCACAACCACATATTAAAAAATCAAAAGAATTTCAAGAAGAGATCATTAGATTGATTTACGAAAGATTTTGATTTTAAAATCAATAGTATGTCAGGAAGAGATTACCAGATTTATTTATGAAAGAAATTGAGCAATTGGGGGTTCAATACAAATGTCTAGTGAACTAGTGATTTTTTTTCAACACCTCAGTTGAAAGATTCAGCTTTCCATACAGTTGAAGGCTGAATATCAGAGGGAAAGTTGACAGGAATCTACTTTGTCCA